CGGGGCAGCGGCGGGGGCAGGCGCTGCTCCCGCACCCACGGGAGCCGGGCTGACAGCCCGAGCCCCGGGCCGGGTGCTCCCGGCTCCCTCCCGGCTCCAGCCTTACTGTGCCCGGCGGTGGGGTCAGGAAGGTGCCAGCCTTGGGCTTGGTGCGTCAAGCATGGGCCGGGGGGGGGCGAAGGTTTTGCCCCGGGAGAGGCACCCCGTGGCTTTTGCTGCAGGCCCGTGAAGCCGTGGGTGCGGCACGTCACATTTATTGCGCAGGTGGCCAGCGAGGCGCGCTATAAATGCGAAAATAAGGCCAGCCACTAGTGCCGAATCCCCTGGTTCCCTGGGGCCACGCGCTGCACGTGTAGACTGGCCGCACGTGCCACGTTGCTGTCAGGCACCTCGCTGGAGCGCGCCATAAGTTTAGACCAGGCGCCCGCGCCCAGGAGTCACCACACAAGTCGCGGGTGCCACACTCCATAACTGTAGAGCGGCCACGCATGCAAGGTAGCTTACACAACTCACTGGTGAAGCGTGCCCGAAATGTAGACCGGCCACATGGGCTGAGTAGCTTCCCTGTGACACACTGGTGAAGTATGCTGTAAATATAGACTGGCCGCACATGTGAAGTCAGTGGCCACAAGCACAAAGTAATCGTACAGTTTGCCGGTGGGGTATCGTGCCATAAATTTAGACAGGCCGCATGTGCCAAGTAAGACTGGCCACACGTGCACAGTAGTTGTTACACAGTTCACTGGGAAAGTGTGCAATAAAATCAGGACTGGTCACAGGTGCCAAGTAGTTCTCCCACTGTAAAAATGACCCGTTAGCTAGAAAAAGAGGCAGCAAGTGAGAGCTTGAAAATGTGCAACATCTCCACAGCTGGTTTCTCTCCAGCTTGAATCCGAATGTGTAGCAGGGCCCCATGTTCCTGGGATCTGTTCCTGTTAAGCAGTTTCCAGGGCAAGTAAACAATTTCTCCTCCTGTTTCACATCCGTTTCTGGTTAAGTATGTGTTTCTGATAAATTTGATCTACTGGTTAATTTTTTCCCTGAACAACATGCCAACTGTTGCCATCCTCTGAGTGATTACATGGTTTAATGGGAAGAAAAGAAAGCCTCTTCCCCCAAACGCGCTAAGCAGCAGCTTTCTTCCTGGTCATTTCAGGTACTCCGATGCCACAAGGTGAAGGGATAACTGAAGTCTTATTCAGACTGAGGAAGGACATCTTGTGCCTCATAGCTTGTCGAGTACCTCTTCCAGTCATTTCCAATAAGAGAGACTGATTCACTGCACAAATCGTCTTGCACACCCCCAAACCCACAGCTGTTACAATGCTACTAGATTTGGGGGGGGGAAACCTGGCTGGGGGGGAAGCACATATTAATGTTTTGTAAGGTCCTTCACTCAGTTTAGTTTCAATTTTAGTAAACAAATTCACATAAAACAGAAGGGCCTAATTCTGTCACCATTAGTCAGATGACAAGGAATCCTGTTGACTTGGGTTTGACTACAAATGGAAATATGGTGTTTGTTAGCATGGGAAAAATGGCAGGATTCTACCCCTAGTAATCTTTGCACTGCGTAATGCAATCTGTGAATTTTCAGTTTGCATATTTTTCCATTTTGTTATAAACATTTCCTGCACATCTGTGTACTCATGTTGGTGTAAATGTAAATACTTCTGCTTTTTACCAGAGCTCAATCTATCCCTCTTTGTTTTAAAAAGACAGAGAGTGACCATTATCAGAAGCTGTCCAACCATACCAAGAGGGTTTTTGCAAGTTTGTCTTCTTTTCTTTTCTTTTCAGGCCCTGGTCCCAGAAACTTTTGTGCATACTATATATCTATATATAGTCCTTTCAAACCAAGGTGGGGGGGGAAACACTTTTCTCTCCTGTCTTTTAGCCCATGCAGGTTCTTAAATATATACTTTTCAAGGCATTTCATGAAGCAAGAACCAGAAGGCCTGAAAATTAAATACTTGCAAGTAAAAAGCTTATCTCAGACAAACTACACAGTATTGCAGTGGTACTCAGTATCTGTCTCTGTGGGTCCACAAAATTGGCATCAGAGGAGTAGCAACAGCATTAATTGCTGCTATTTCCAGAGGTTCTTATGTCCATTATCAGTACATGACATTTTCTTTCATTATAAAAAGACAATAAAGCATATTACAGAAACTTTCAGTTGGTCTAATAAAAGATATCACACTTACTCATAGAAACTTGCCTGCCTTTTCATAAAATAAGCATTTAAAGGTGTGGAAACTCTTATTGTGACTGAACCTTTTTTTTTCTCCTTAATGTAATTATTGGTTAAAACCACCTGATTAACATAACACATTTTTGAAAATGTATTGTTAGGGATATAAATTTTGTTCAGAAGACTTTGTAAATGCTTTAAATGAATTTTCTGATTCAAACCTGCATTGTAGTTGAGCCACTGTGTTTTAGGAAAAATGAGAAGCTGGAAACCTCACAGAATCAAAACTAACACTTGATAAATGCGTATTTGAATTTAAAGGCACAGCTGATTTAGTAACCATCATCACCTTTTCTCAATTATTTCCAGGTGTTGTGTTTTTAAAAAAAATGATTTTCCCATCATGTCTCTTCATGCTGTAATCCTAACCAGCTGCAACAGAACACAGGTTTTCAAACAAGCTAGTTCTCAAAAGGTAAAGCCATAAATTCTTTTTTTGTTTCTTGTTAACTGAAAGTGATCCTTTTTAGAAAGAATGCTTAGCTTTTAGTTTCTAGTTGTTATGGCAAATCCAGTAACCTTAATGTGCTATTATTTTTATAATAAACTTTGACTTTGGGGGAAGAAAATCAAAACCAAATGTATAACTTGTTTCGGAAAAGCCTGAAGTTATCTGAAAACAGGCAAGGGCTTTGGGATGTTTTTTGGGGGTTTTTTTTGTGTAGGTTTGGACACTAGCTTTAGGTAAGTCCCTTGAATTAAAGTACTTCGCAATGATCAAACTTTTTCAAGAGCTTCCTTTCTAAATTCTTCCAAAACTCAAAATAGATTGCTGTAATGGGAGTCATTTTGAAAGTAAACTTAATTCTCTTATCTGAATTCTCAGAACAGTGGTTGCTTATCATAAAAATTTTACAGGAAGCTTCTAGGAGTAAAGAGTCTTAGAAATCTGAACTATGATATTTACACTGATTATTAAATTAATTGCAGGAAGTTGTGGCATTGATTTGAACAGTTGTTAGAATTCTGCTGTCCTAAGAGATGGAGCTGATTTACTGCGAAACTGATTAGCAATAACTACCTGAAACAAGTTTTTAATCAAACTGATCAGTTATTAAATATATGCACTCTTTTAAGTGCTGTTGAACTAATTGATATGTATTAATATTTGTATATTTGGGAATATTTATTCTTAAAATGTGCTGCTGGAAATAGTGCAAACAAAACTGGATGTTTAACAGAATGTTTTCCTAAAATTTGAGATAATACAATACTAAAAACTTTAAGCATACCTTAAGACTCTTGTCCTGAAGCCTTGTTATTCAGCTAAAATGGAAATACCTATTCACTTTTTATTTAGACACCTCTACTTTCCATGGGCCAAAGGAGATTTAAGTTAGATCCAATAAAGAATGCAGGCAAAAAAAAAGATGGGAAATTAAGTCTAAAACTGAGATCCAGAAAAACCCATAAGTTCAGCTGTGCCCTGATCTTCCACATTGTGAGCAAGTGCTCCAGCCATTAATCACTATAAAATATAAAGGGTGACCTCCCTTCCATAAAGTTGCACTTCTTCCCATGTCTTTTCTAGGTAAACTGAAGTTTTATATCAATATGTTTAAGCATTTTAATTCAGTGCAAAACAAGGACCTGATTCTGCAAAACTTAATACAACTTGCTTAACTCTGACTAAGCAGTCCCACTGAATTGGTGCTACTCATAATGATAAAGTTAATTGTGTATCTTAACTTTAAATAAAAAATAAGCTCTCTTCTTCCCGCATGTGGAAACTCCTGCCTTCCCCCCCTATGTAAGATAATAAGGCAGTATTAACAAGTACATGGGTGAGGTGCAAAAAATATAGCTGTCTCTCCTTCATTAGTATGCTGTTATGACTTGAACATGAGGGCTGTATCTAACAAATATCTTGGGCACCTGGTCCCCAGAATAAAATCTGAACTACAGAATGAAGCACCTAAACTCCCTGCACGGTACGTTGTAGGGGTCTCAGAAAGGCAATGCAAAATTCCTGCATGCTGAGTGAGGGGCTGCCTAGAGCTAGTTAACAAGAAATACTATGCAGCTTAGGCCCCTCAGTTAGGGCTGCAGGCAAGTGCCTCTGTCTATTTGGGTTCTAGAACCTCAAATCCTTTACTTAGGGTATGGTCTGCATCTGTTGTTCGCAAGAACCGATTGCAAGTCATTCTTCTCCTTTAAAATACTGCTGGAGTAGAATGAGTCTGAGGTGATGGTACCCACCTTACCTATGATAGTGTTAGTTTTGCTAATTAGAACAGTCAACCAACAAGTAGGAGGCTGAGGGAAATGACCCATATATCTAACCTACTAGGAGAATGCTTTAATTATCCAGTTATAGGCAGGGCTGAGGTTCAAATTGGACTGCTGGACAGAAAAGGATGCAAGAGTCATTTGGGGCTTGGATAAGAGAGTATAAAGTGGGGGTATGACTATAGCCTAGTGATGAGGGTATTCACATGGGAGAGAGGAGTCCTGGGTTTAGGTTCCTGTTCTAGGTAGTGTTTATGTATACTTGCAGGTGAGTAATGGTTACGGCACTCGGGAAGTAGGAAGCCTGGGTCCTAGGATACTATATAACAGGTGGGTATCACCATCTTGTTCTCTTGTGCCTATGTTGTTAAAAATAAAGCAGCTACACGGGCATCTTTTTAAGGGGTCCAATTCTGTCTCTGTTTTAGGCATACTCTGTATATAGCTACTGATTGTGTTCCTTAAAGGGATGGTTATAGCTGTTTTCTGGATCTATTTAGGCTTATATGAGATTTAGGTATACAGCTGGTTAGACTAGGGCAGGTCTGCATACACCCAGAACAAAAACTGAAGGTGAAGACAAATTTCAGGCCCAAGAGATGCTAGGGTCAGGTAGTTTCTAAATAGAGGTTTTTGGATCACAACTTTGGATCAAGTCTGCTAAAGTCTGGCTGTAGAAATAAAAAAAATACTATGTGACTTAGTAATTCAGGTGTAAGATGGCAGGTGTAAAAGATAGACATACACTGTAGGAGAAAATGGCCTAAACTCTGTCTTTTTCTGGAGCGTACAATAACTCTTTTGTGCATTGCTCATCCAACAAGGCTCCATAATTAACAGGTTTGTGTGTGTGTGTTTGTTTTAGTTGATCAAGGAAATCCACAAGGTAGCTGTTACAGAGTCAACACTTTCATCAGATCCTGCAAAGATTGCCCCACTAAGGACTAGCTGCCTTGCTCAAACACCTCAAATTTCAGTTCTTCCAGGTATGCCTCTTAGTTTAGAAATAGTCTTCTCTCCCTATTTACTCAAATCTAACTTTAATTGCTGTTTATATGGCGTATCGTTTAACATGTTAATACAAACCATGAAGATGTGTACTTCTTTTTTCAAAATAACTTAAGACTAACTGATTAGAGCTGGAATTTCACTTATTTGAGATGCAACAGTAAGAAATTACCTCTTCAGATTGAAAGGTAGTTGTGTACTTCCTTACTTTATAAAAGAATACCATTTTGGTCAGACCAACAATTTTAGTGTTCAAAGTAAATGAGCTTCCTCTCTTAAATAATCTGAATGGCATCTGCTATTTGACTGTAATGCATTAAACCTTTATTCATGGAAGCAATAACTTTGTAGATTTTGGGGGACTAGAAAGACAAGTCACTTGTGAGCTTAATTTTGCATATTTTACCTTTTTAATAACAGTTAATATTCCTGGTAACAGCTTTAAGTATTGTGTCTGATTTTTTTTTAAGCTTGTTCCGGGACAAGAGAGAGGCTTTATTTCGAGTCACACCTGGCTAATATATAAGTATTAGCATCTTTGTGTGTGTTTTGGGGGATTGGCTAAATTTTGGAATATTCAATCTTTTTTTTTATGGGTTGGATTAATTAATTAAGTCAAGTTTTTAAAAAATATGTGTGTGTCCAATCAAATTACTTAAGCAAATAATGTTGTCTAAGTAGAACCTTTAACTTTTATGGGTAGGTACATGGGAAAAGAAGGACAAAGCTTTGAATCTCTCGCAAGGCAAGAGTTGTTTGCTATTTGTATTACTTTGTAGCCATTGAACAGCACTCAGGTGGTGCTATAAAAATACAAGGAGAGAAGAGAGGATCCCTATCCAAGAATGTCCTTGCCCAAGTGGGAATCTTCATTTTAAGCATAAGATGAGAGACAATGGATGGGTACAGATATTTTGGGGAAACAGTGAGAATATATTGTTCTGAATAATTGGTTGTCAGTGGCTTTAGTACACCATCAGCCAAAATATTGTCAGTCTGTCTGAAGGCACAGTAAAGGAGAGCTTGAAGCAGGAGGCTAGGTGGTTAATTTTGCATGCCTGGCAGCAAGAGCCGGAGAGACAAAAACATGCTTGTATTTGAGGAATGAACCAATGAGAGGTTAAGCAGAGCAGGAAAGGGATCTCTGGGCAAGTGAAAGGATTAAAGAACAAGAGCAGACATGAAACTCTGGCATCCATAAGCGAGTTGTGAGGAGGAGGCTTGTCTTTATATTTTTATTTCAAGAAATTGAAAAGTTCCTGGGTATCAAGAGAGGAGAGGAAGAAATGGTTTCAGGAGGGAGTCAAAGGGATGGTAGAGGTGATATTCAGTTAAGTTGAAGAAGTAGAGCTGTTCAACCAAGAAGCTGTGAAGCAGGAAGAGGCAATTCTGTAGTAGAAGAAGGCCACGTGGTCAAGGGATTTCTGCCAGAAATGCTCATGGTGCAGGAGAAGTGGAAGCAGATGTTTGGTAAGCATGGAGTGTGGCAGGATGGACTTAGCAATGGGAGAGGGGCAAAAGAGTTTTGTGTGGGGGACTGTTGTCTTGACTCTTCAGTCTCCCTTCCCTTCCATCCCTCTGCCCTCCCTTGCATGTGCCAGATATGAAGGATTACATTTGTATTAGAGACAAGAGGTGACAGGCCACTACAACCTATTCTTACAGCTGTCACATTTTGACATTTTTTTGGAAATATAGCAGTGTTGTGTGTGTTAAATGACACTTGCCTTCAGACTTCTTAAACCAGGCCTGAACTAGAACACTTGGCTGGTATGGCATTCCTGTTGACCTGAACACATCAAGTACCTCTAGTGTGCATTCAGTTTTGCCTGTGTAGCTTATTCCTGCATCCTCATCTTAAGAAAAACAATCTATTTGTGGAAAAGCAGTTTTATAGGTACAGCTGTTTCTTTATTAGGACTTTTGCTGGTATGCTGATGTTGTTTATAAATTACTGATGTGGCTGTGGTGGCTATACTGTAGCATAGTGTAGACCTGGCTTTAATTTTCAAATGTATGCCACTGAAAGCATAAATAACTAGTAACATAGCTCTCAAATGCTGCGGGCTCAGTTAATACATGTGTTCATTAGTGTCATGTGTGGTGGGGGAGATTGTTTATTTGTAATCCGTTTTAGATGTGCCTATTGCACACTTGCCTTCACAAGGTCCAGGATTATGGGCTGAGCAATGTGCATGATATTTTACTTTGGTGCCCAAAATTACTAATCCCTGTCATCTGGCACAGTTGAAATGCCTAGCTCCCAGAGGAATTAGCCTTAGTGAGATTTGTTGCTCTGTTGTTGAGATTTGTTACCCTGACAATGTCCAGTGAGACAACTACTAGACAAAGGTCTCAAAGACTCGACACTGTTCCACCTGTGGTGCTTGGCATTTCTTCTGAACCTAAAAAATCCCCACTGTACCGGAAACAAATCTTATTTGCATCTTTTCTTAGAATTTTACAATCTAATGCGTCTGTCTTAAAGAAGTGGGCAAGTATCCTATTAGTCATCTGAAGTCTGATAAGTAATTTTCTCCATCTCAACCTCTTGACTAGCCTCTTCACTGAATAAATGATGGTGGTTTTTGCCTAAACTTTGTGCTGAAGCAACAGGTTTTGTACTTTGATTGAGTAATGAACAGCGGTTGACTAATTCATACTGTTGTGCCTGTGTTGTCATATCTGCTATTTGAAAAACATGTTTGATTTAAGATTTTTATTGAACTTTAAGCTTTGATGCAAGTTACTTACTACTGTGAAATCCTGGCACACTTTTGATTCCTACAGGGGCATTCTGTCAACTACAGTTCTCTATTCCGGCTGCCTGTAAGATATTCCTGCCATTCTGGATAATGTAGTCAAAATCATTTTGGCTCCTTTTTGTCTAGGAATTTAGGAGGCATGTTCAGAAACCATAGGCAAGAGAGTGTAAGGTCAGAATATAAATTGGTTGAGCTGAATGCTAGAGAGAGCCAGTTATTGGTGCCCTCTCTTTCTGTCCTTGCCAGCTGTTGTCTTCTCTGGAGCTACCAACAGTAGCAGTGGGCATAAAGTTGGTTGCTGAGAGGAGGCAGTTGGAGAACCCCGGTTGAGAAAAGTGACTGCGATTATGCTCCTTTATAAATCTATGGTGCATCCACACTTTGAATACTGCGCTCAGTTCTGGTCTTCACACTTCAAAGGATATAGAAGAACTAGAGAAGATACAGAGAAGGGCAATAAGGATGATTAATGGTGTGAAGGGTCTTCTGTATGAGGTGAGACTAATGAGGCTATGTTTATTCAGTTTAGAAAAGAGAAGCTAGATGCAGAACATAATGGTTTACAAAATACTAAATGGTGAGAAGAAAGTAAATAGGGATTTATTATTTACTTTCTCAGTACAAAACTAGGGGTCACAAGGTGAAACTAGGAGGTAGCAAGTTTAAAACTAAACACAAGGATATTTTTTCTCATACAGCATGTCATTGAAGTGTGGGATTTATTGCCACCAGATGTTGTGCAAGCTGACAGTATAGCCAGATTCAAAACGGGATTGGACGTATTTTTGGAGGAAAGGTGCATCATTAGCTATTGAGTGTAGGAGTTGGGGATACAGCTTTTGAATCAGAACTTCCTAGACTTTAAGTGCTGGAGGGTGCAAGTGAGAGAGAAAGTGGGGTGGGGATGCTGGTCATACCCAGTTCCCTCCCCCTTTCAGTATCTGCTGTGTGTCGCTGTGTGACACAGGATGCTGGGCTTGATAGACCTATAGTCTGACCCAGTAAATTACCATTCTTATGTTCTAAAGTCATTCTTAAAGTTCAGACAAATGCATATTGTGTGGGATATATAACATTTTCTATTGCCTTTATAAAGGTGTCAGTGGGCATAGGAATCCAGGGTTTTCTTTCAGCGTTGTATATAGCAGACTAATGCAGGAATTTAACAGGAATACAAACCAGATGCTTTAAGGGGAATAATCTTTTCTTTTCTCTATGAAAGAGAATGCACCCCTGTAAGAACACTACTGGGTTAGGGTTCAAGGCAGAAGAGGGGAAAGGGATCTA